CTCCGGCGCCTGCCGCCGCTTCCCCACGTGGGCCCTGCGCCCCGCGCCTGCCCGAACCTTCCCTGCGCTCTTGGGCCCGGAGCGAGCAGTGGGGCGCGGAGGAGGAGACCCCACCCCAGCCCTCCCCACCCTCCGGGTCCCCGCTGGGTGGGCTCGGGCCCCGCCCCGCCTCCTCCAGGAGCCCCTGCCAGCACCAACCTTGGCTTTCCTGGGCTCAGACTCCTGGGCTCCCCGCCCTGTGCTCCGGGCTAACTCCGCGGCCAGGCGCCCAGCTCTCCAGCCTCTTACCTCCTCCACCCGGACCAGGCCGACGCCCACCAGCCACCCCGCGGCCCTCCCATTGTTCCCGAAGCCCAAGATCCGGGAGGATCTCGCCTCGCCTTCCTGCCCCCTCTCAGGTGGCAACACCACTAGACTCTCACGGGGACTCCCCAAAAGCTGAATCACTGACTTAGGGACCCCTGGCATCAATCCTCCAGGGACCTGACACACCCAAAGTAAAGGGCTTTTCCAAATTAGTTACAACCACCAAGGGGTCTGAGAGAGGAGGAGGAACCAGCCCCAAGTCCAGTGAGTTTGTACTTAGCACACAGCAGGAGAAGGTGGGACACAATGGGTGTCTAGTTCCCTAGATAAGGAACTGAGAGAATTCGTGCCCCCAGGACTCCAGGGACAGGGCTAAGCCCTCCAGATATGTACCTGGCCTTCTTTGTTAGACACTAAGGCCAGATGGTCAGGAAGAAGGCCTATGTGTGCGTGCAATTGTGGAAGTATTGGTGGATGTCAGCACATATGTAAAGGCCTCCCTGGTGCAATGAGGAGCCCTGATAGAGCAATGGTGAAGCGCTAGACGACTGCCAAGAGAAAGCTTGGCAGTTGGACCCTATCTAGCAGAGTAAAAGATGTTACAGGTTAGGAAACTCAGTGGCCAGTTCTACTCTGCCACCTGGATTCACCATGGGTCAACATCCACTCCATGGCATGTGTGGCCGCCACCACCCAGTGCAGCTTTCACCTTCTTTGTCTCACTCCCTCAGCCCTGGCTATCATCTCTCTGTGGCAGCCATGATTGTTCCCATTTTACAGATGAGAAGCCAGGCAGCACAGAACCAGCCCCCATCAGCCGCACATTCCGGTTCTGCACTGTGGACCCACACCTCAGTATGGGATACTAAGCGCCGAGTGAACAGTGAGAACAGGAGCCTTGAAGAACTTATAGAAAGTAAGAAGAGGGTGGAACGGAGGGAGTCGACACCCCAAGGCAAATATTATGACATGTAGGGGGGCGTTATAATGAATCATCAGACCTGGTGGTGGTGGGTGCCACTGAGTTGTTTCCGGCTCATAGTGACCCTAGGTACAACAGAAGGAAACACTGCCAGGTCCTGCGCCATCCTCACAGTTGTCGCTATATTTGAGCCCATGGTTGCAGCCACGGGGTCCTTTCATCTTATTGAGGGTCTTTCTTTTTTGTGATGAGCCTCTACTTTGCCAACTATGATGTCCTTCTCCAGGGAATGGTCCCTCCAGAGTAAAGGAGTTGAAGTCTCATCATTGTCACTTTAAGGAGCAATACTATATTTTTTTCCAAAAGAGATTTATGTGTTCTTCTGCTGGTCCACACTTCTACAACAGCATAATTCAAAGGCATCGGTTCTTTTTCTATCTTCTTTATCCGTTGCCTTAGGGTTTCACCTGCCATGAAACTATTGAAAAGACCATGGGTTGGTATTTTGGACTTTAGTCCTCAAGGTGAAATGTTTTCTTTTTTCGGCACTCACTTTGAAGAGGTCTGTTGCAGCAGGTTTGTCCAATGTAATACATCATTTGATTTTTTGACCTACGACTTCCATGGGTGTTGGTTACGGAATCAAGTAAAATCCTTAACAACTTCAATACAAAGGGCTTCAAAGAGGCTGTGGAAGTGACTCCCTGGCAGGTGATGTGCCTCTTTCGGTCAATACACTGACTTCAGAAGAGAAGCTAAGGGATTTTCAGTGCCAAGACAGAGATGCATCTGTGAGGTAACAACAGTTAGTCTAGAGCTCCAGAAGGCCAAGAAGGATGAACAGGTCTTAAAAGAAGGAAGATCACTGAGCTTTCACCCAACCCATCTTCTGAAGAAACCAGTCAAAGAGGTCAGCCTCACCCTGGATGAAATAGTCAATGGTGTGAATGGCACAGACTCAGGCCACTCACACCAACTGTCCTCACATGGCACTCTCTACTTCTGGGCTGGGTTCTATAATCTGTGACAATGGCCACACAGAACTCACAGACAACATTCATGATTATAGGGTCTATTAGGGAGTTACAATTTAGGATCAGAAATGTTCAAAATACAGTTCTATGGTCAGGATAACCTCTTTTCAACCTCTGTCCTGCTTGCACAATGTTACAAAGCTCTTTTAGCACTGCCAATAAATACCCGAAGGATACTTCACTCTGTCATAAGTCAGTCCAAAAGCATTCAGCTCTGGCTCATTGGGTCAGCAAATCTAGTTCCTCCAATTAAGTACCTGGAGGCAACCTACTCCAAAAGTGAGCTTCCTACCCTCCTGTCTGAAGGTACTCTGTTTCCTCCTTTTCCATGGACTGGGAAGCCCACCATTAGTCTCATGTTCTTGGTGCTGCTGCCTCTGCTGCCGCCACTTCTCATCAATTTTCCATCAATTTTCCCGTGTCACAGCTCACTGTCTCCTGGATTGCGGAGGGTTAGTGCACAGAGATCTTGAGGTTCAAAAGACAGCTTTCCTCCTAGCTCTTTTTTCTTGAGAGAAGTGAGATCCCATTTTTGCTTCTGAAGTGGTTCATTTGAACACAGTGGGATAACAAAACTGACTAATTCCCACATTAGAGTTCCATATACCCAGACCTTTGGTGGCAGCTGCAAAGACTATGGTTAGAAGAGCCATATCAAACAATTCACTGCACCACACCAATCCTGCACTTTTAACTAAAAAGAAAAACAAGAGAAAGAAAAATAAAGCCCACCGCCATTGAGTCAATCCTGGCTCATAGCAATGCTACATAGGGTTTGCAAGGCTGTAAATCTTGTGGTAGGTTTGAATCACAGTTAGCAGTCCAATGCCTACCCAATAACACCACCAGAACTCCTCATTCACAGACCAAAGAGAAGCAGCTTGGATGTCGGCAAAGGCATTTAAGCTACTAGATCACCTACCACAATCTGACTCTATTTGGTTAGTGTCTTTTGTCCGTCTGTGACTACCCAGTGACCAACACAAGGCTGCTTTTAGGGTTAATTTGTTAAGCCACTGTGTGATTGAAATATAGGTGAGGCTAGAGTGTGGAATGCTATATGCAGGGCCCTGTTGCAGCCCTCTCTGCTCTGAAGGACATGTTTATCAGTGGTTTTAGATGAAGCGAAGGAAAGCATGATCTGTTGATTAAATCTACAGTTGCCATGAGGTTGGGAGGGACAGTGAACAATCTGGAAACCAGAATTAGTTTCCCAAAGATCTCAACTACCTTGAAGACTGCAGGACCTAACAAAATGAGGCCTTCCCTTAGCGTCCAACCAAAGCTGTCCCACAAAATTTTCAGAGATGAAGGAAATGCTCTAAATCAGCACTGTCCAATATATTAACCATAGCTACCTGTGACTATTGAATGCTTAAAAAGTAGATGGCATAACTAAGGGACTGAAATTTTAATTTAGGTAATTTAGATAACTAACTGTGACTAGTGGCTACTATACTGGACAGCTCAAATATCCAAACCGTCAAGTGTCAACAATAGAGGGTAGAAAGAATCTATCTACATTACAGTCCGTTTCAGTTAAAAGGACTTCAAGGTTTCCGTTGATCTCAAGCTCATCAGTGTAATTAAGAAATAAAAAGGGGAAAAAAAAAGAAATAAAAAGGGAAGAAAAGAAAGGAATGACGTGGGGGAAAGAGACAAACCATGAGGGGAGGGAGGGAGGAAAAAGTGAATGTGATACTATATAACAGAAATAAAAGGTTGTACTCGTTCTGTCCTGCCCGGGACAGACCACAGATCAACCACAAAGTTCACGTTTGGGCCCACACTCTGAAGGAGCCACTGTCACACCAGAGGGTGCCTCGAGGAAGGGGCCAGAATGTTGAAGGCTTGGACGCCCTATTGCGCGATGCATGGCATTAGCAGCCTGGAGAGGTAAAGCAAGAAGGGGAATGTGGTAGCTGTCTCCAAACAGCTGAAGGTCTGTCATGCAGAAAGGGGGCTTGATTTGGTTCTTATTATGTAGGTCTAATAAGCAAACCAAACCATTCAGTATAAGCTAACTCTGGGGCTCCGCACCTAGTCCACCCAGGATCAGGCCCATATTAAATAACGACTACAAATTAGCTACCGCCCCAAAATTGCCATCAAGTTGATTCTGACTTGTGTTAAGCCCATATGTTATAGAATGAAGCTGCTCTATAGGATTTTCTTAGCTGCAATTTTATGGAAACAGCAGGTCTTTCTTCTATGGAGCCCCTGAATGTATGTAAACCACCAACCTTTAGGTTAGCAGTGAACTTTCAGGAAGACAATTTCAGTTCCTGATAAAGAACTCTTTTAACAGAGCTATCTGAGTATGATGAAATGGGCTACTTGGAGAGTTAGGAGCTTTCTGGCAATAGAAGTATTCAGAGAGAGAGCAGGTCTTCATTTAGAGGATGAACCAGGTACCAAGTGACCCCTTAAGATGAAAAATGAACAAGTTCTCTTAAAAGTTAAGATATAAGACTGATATCAGGTTACAGAGGCAAATTAAGTCAAGGTCAGCAAGTCAAGCGTTGACTGGAGAGGTGAATGAATCCAAGATCAGCAGGTCAGATGGTAGGCTGTTGATGGCGCCTGGGATAGGCCGGCAATATGGCAGGCTCTTGGCTCAAGTCCAAAGAACTGAAGGTCAAAGATCCAGGTACAAAATCCAGATCCAGCAAAATGCAAGCAAGCTTTCTCACAGTATCTACTTATATAGGAAGTAGGCCACACCCATAAGGAAACTTCCTTTCAATTGCATCAAGGCTGTTACCTGATTAAGACTGTTGTACTCCACACTAACCTTCTTACAACTACTTGGTTCTTCGTAAAAGATCTCAATATGGAGTTGATTATATCTTCACATCATGGGGAACTACTAGGCCTCACCTGCCAAACCACTGAGAATCATGACCCATCCAGGTTAACACAAAACCTCTCACAGGCTGCTAACAGAACTGTTCCAACTCACCAGCTGCTCTACAGAAGAAA